TCTATATATTACTCATGAGATTAATTTTTCCCTACAATTGATTAATTCTATCCAAATTGTTTCTGAATTTAGTTCAGTTTTTAATTCCTTATTTATTTCACACTTCAGATTATCCCTGATATTTATTGCTACTCCGCCTCCTTTCCTAATCTGCCTCTCGGTATGGAATATTTTAGTTTTGTCATCATTCCAATCACTATATCCCTGTAACCTTTCACTTTGTTTACCCGCTCCCACTGCAGTCTCCTCCACCTCCTTGCCCGTATGTTCCCCTAGCAGTTTAAAGACTTCGACATCTTTTGAACTGCCCTCTCGAGAGAGCCAGCCAGGGTTGCCACCCCATCCCTTGACAGATGTACCCTATCCCTAGCATAAAGGTCCCTTCTGCCATAAAAGTTGTCCCAGTTGTCAATGAATGGGACTGGTATTGACTTGCAATATCTGTCAAGACAGCCATTGACACCAACTGCCCTTGACAACCTTTCATTGCCAACTCTCCTTCTAGGCAGTACACATATGATAGGGATCCCTCCCTTCACCCTAATACATTCTATAGCTATCTTTAACTTATCAAGAAGCTCCTCACTCCTTCACCGGCCAATATCATTGCCTCCTGCACTGATGCAGATAATGGATTTGTTCCCATTACCTGAGAAGATATTGTCCATCTTGTCAACTATATCCCCCACCCTAGCTCCTGGCAAATACGCCCTCATCCGATTTTAATTTTTACCACAAAAAGCTCTATCCAGGTACCATACCTGGGAATCGCCTACAATTAAGGTTTTCTTACCTTCCTTGTCAGCCCTGTCCCTGACTATGGTAATGTCCAATTTGTCTATCAAAAGACTAAAAGAGTTTTTACACTTAGTTGTTTTCATTTCCTTGGAGTCTTTTCTCACTACCATTTAGTCATTCCTCTCCTCACAACCTTCCATTCCCCTGAGTTTTCGTCAGGCATGGGCTTTCCTTGTCTCATGTCTTCTTCCTTCATCCTCGCTATCACTTCCTTTAATTTCAAGTTTTCCTCTTTGACCTTCACTAACTCAGCCAGTAGCTTGGCCCTCAGAAGGGCACAGCCCTGTTCACAAGTAGCACTAGCCATTACCGACAATTAATCCCCAGGAGCTAAGTCTGCCGTGACCTTTCCTCTAGCGAGGTCAGAACACAATTTTTTTTATGAACTTTAATTGTCCAGTGTTAATCCAAGAGGAAATCTGTGATACTTGGTAGTGAGGATCACACTGGATAACACCCTTCTCACCTGTATTCCAGGGCCTATTTTGTAGGCTGGAACGTTTATATTTTATTGGGTCTTAGTAGCAAAACCCAAGTCTGTTATCCATTTATTCAGGAACAACTAAGACAATTCCAAAGTGTAAATTAACCGTAACTTATCACTGTAACTGTGAGTGTTAAGAGAAGGACGGAGGCTATGTAAATAGACCTGCTTAAAGACGGCCTTCCTATGTGAGTCATTGAGTGAGAGTCTGGCCCCAGGGTGTCAGTGCCCCGAACGCCCGGCCCTTTCAACGCTGACCTAAGCTGTCTCTGGCCACACCTTATAAGGAAGAGTGCCGACCAGATGCCATCAAGATGACTCATCATAGCCAGTGGAAAGTTACAGGGGATGATTATGTATATAAATCAATATGTAATTACCCATTTATATAATCATTCTGTTCATGAAACAAGGGCCATTACACCTATGTTCTGGGCCAAGCAGGACACAAACTTATGACATACTGGTGAGAGATACTCACATTACCACTGTACCACCACCTCCACCACTATCATGGTATTTTCGGTCAGGTGCAAATACCCTCAGCTAAATAGCTGTTTGTACAGAAATTGCCTTAGTCTACGACATAATCATATAAAAAAGTGATTTACATAACGAACATCTGTAGATGCTTGGAGCTGCCACCATCTTATGTATTTATAAACAATCCACGTTACATAGTAGTTCACCTCTTGCTATGCCTCTTATAAAATATTTTGATGAAATGCATAAACAAAGTTTAAAAAAAAAATTGAACTGATGACTCATTATGCTCCAGGAGGAGAAATATAGAAACTTGTCACTACCTGAGACTCATCTTGGTTTGAGCAGAGAATGTCTTGTGATGAGCAGCAAAATCAAAGGAGAAACTGCTTTTGCTCATTCTATGTGATGGTGGAATTAATTTTGAGATCAGGGTAGCCTTGCTGCATTGTTTACAATTACAGTGACCCCTCGTTTAACGAACGCCTCGGTTAACGAAATTTCGGTTAACGAACTGCCTTCCATAAGGATCTTCAATTCAGTTAACGAACAAAAATTCGGTTAACGAATTTCTTACGAACCGACCTCAACATGTTTTCGCTTGCACTGACCGGGCAACCAGCTTTAGTATCAGTCTGCCAATACATTAATCGGTTCTAGGGCTTAAATTCCATACTATTTTAGTAAATATCAAAAAGTTTATACTATTCAATAATTTTAAAAGTTTAATATTCAATTTTTTAGTCATTTTAACAATTATTGAACATAATTGAAGGTAAAGTGACTAGTTTAATGCGCGGCATCCAGCCTCTCAACACAGCAAACAGGCGTTATTCTCTCTGTTTTCAGTGGAGGTAACATCTTGCTTGAGACTCTCTTCAACTAAATGCTTTTTTCTGTGTTTCCAAGCAAATTATTGGTCATTTTGAAATTTATTTTACATATTGACAATATATAATGCAGTGCAGTGTTGATTTAAAGAAAATAATCTTGAAATACACCAAGAGAACTAAAATTTTATGGGTGAAATGGTGCCATGGGGTGACTTCTCTTCCACCCCAATGCCTTCTCTTCTCCCTTCTCCTCCTCCACCTCCCACTTCAAATGCACATCATCATCATCATCATCCAGGAGCCTTCTACATACACACCTCAAAGTGAGTGAACTTTTCTACCATTTTTGTTGAATTTAGGAAATTTTCGGTGAGCTGGAACCAATTACCCAAAAACCCATTGAAACAATGGTTTCGGTTAACGGACTTTTCGGTTAACGAACGACCTTCTGGAACGGATCGAGTTCGTTAACCGAGGGGTCACTGTGTCAGGATTTTCACCACATCCCAATAGTGTTGGTAAATAGGATCAGCCTCATAACGCTGTGGGTCTTAGCTTTAAAAAGACACTGATGCTTGTTCCTCCCCATTGAAGAGGAAGAAAATAACAGGTTTTTCGTTTTTGATGCATACACAAGGACAACCACTAGTCTAACCTCAGTCATGGCTTTTAACTCATATGTTGTGAGGTGAAACTGATGATGAAAAATATAGATTGGGGGAGTAAATGTCTTTATCCAACCATCTTGTATTATGAAATGCACCAGGTGCTTAGATCTTAATTCCACCTTCAGGGATTTCTCCCAAGAAGACATGAGAACTTCTGAGGCATTTCATGTATGATCCTTGACCAGCAAAATTTTCTTGAGGGGCCCCAATGCATCTGACTTTTGCTTACATAGGATCCCAGCGAGTCTGACTGTTACCAGTAGATTCTCGTCACCAGTAGCTGGACTGAACTTGCATTTTCATCAATAACATTCCACTGATGCTGATATCATTTAAATAAGCCATTGTCTGGTCCATTGATGATCCAAATGCCATGGTCAAGACAGTGCTCATTATGATTTCACTGATGTGATTCCACCACAGGGCACAGTCCAAGAACGCGTAAATCAGAGAGTTGGAAAAATTTTCAGACTTGCTCAAAAGATTTCTTCAATCAACTTGAAAATTTGTGTGGGAAAAGATAAATTCAAAAGGAACATACAGAATATATGAATAAAAATAACTGGTCAGTGCCAGGTTGGCCAGTGATGGACACTTGGCCATACTCTGCTGCCAGAACTGAATAAGTCACATCTGTTGAACTCATAGAGCATTTCCAGATAGCTGTTTGAGCAACTTTGCCCTGTAGCTCAGAATCTTCCAACCACTCAGGTACTGGATTAGTGGTCTAGGTAGTGACCTGTGATGAGTAATCTCTTACTACATAAACCTGAAAATTAACCCATTGACAACTCCTTCCCAACAGTTGAAAATTTATATATAAATTTGTGGTCTTAAAAGGACATTACTGATTGAGGTAGATGGTAAAAGCCAGCCATTATGGTATGGAAGATGAAAGAAGGGTACAGCCAACTCTTATGTTCTCCTGAGTGATGCCAATAGTGCTTTCTTGGGTTGTCACTGTAGAGAAACCTACAAAACAAACACTCGAGTTTGCTTCACAGCCTTACTTTGACTACATGAGTGGCTACTTACTATTTAATAACATTTACATTGATTCTTAATGCATACAGTATTGTAATGGGGTTCTAGACACCAAGCTCTGCCAGGGAGTGTTATGGCTGAAATATCCCATCAGTTCTCTTAACTCTTCTCCTTAGCCATAAAATGGGATGTTATACTTCAGTCATTTGTTTTCTTTATACTGCCTTATTTTCCTGTAAGATCCAGATTTTTTTGTGCGTAAGATTAGATGATCTTTGTATAAGTTTCACCAGTACAGGACAGAGGTACAGTTGCCTCCACATGAACGTGCCAGAGTCTGGGAATGTGTGAAGGCTTTGCTACGAGATATGGCACCGCAGCACCATAGTCAAGGCTGAATGAATGAGCGTTAAGCAGTCAAATTTCCCTCTTTGCCTTACCACACATTGTTGAAGAACATTTATCACATAGATGCTTTATTTGTTTGTTATGCAACATTGTAGTGTAGCCACAACCGAGGGACTAGGACTGAACTATAGGGAACCGGCAAACAGGGTACTCCATAGTTTCACACCCATGACTAAGGCGCTGCATTGCCGCATGTCATACCTGTGCCCTCACATATTCCCAGCCTGTGGTCAGGTCATGTAGAAACAACTGTACATGTATGTTGATGCAGATAATTTTAGAACTATAAGAACAATTTATGGGAGCTGTTATGAATTAAAATGTTTATTATTCCTCCAACAGATATAACATTTGGGGATGTGATCCTAGGTGGGAAGAACCCAAATGATGAAGATCAGCAGGAGCAAGAGCCGGCAGTGGATTATAAAAGAGAAGCAGAATCATATACCGGTCCTACACTAACATATGTCTCAAATTTATTTCAAGTATGTTGTTGATTTTTTTATACATTAAGTGATATATATAGTAATATCTCTGTTAGCTGAAATCCCTCAAACCCGGAACTCTCCAATAGCCGGAATTGAAATTTGCTCGAAAAAGCAGTCCCAAAGCCGGAATTTAAACAAAAAATCCGGCCTTGGGTAGGGGACCTGAAGATGTCTTGAATAAACACGAAACCTTAAGTATTTTTAGGGAGATTGTGATAAGTATAAGTATAAATGAGCAAAGTTGTATCCCTTCATCATTATATTACATAACATTTTACAATATGGAGTGAGAAAGCAGAAGGGTGTGGGTGATTAGAGAGATGGAGTGGAAAGGAATATAACATGTACCAGTATTGCCAAGTGATAAGCTCCTCAACAGCTGATCTTTTAATTCGCCTCCATGCAGTCACACTAGACCCTCACTGGATGCTTGTTGTCTTAATTCCCGTGTGTGTGTGTAATAATAATAATAATAATAATAATAATAATAATAATAATAATAAACTGTTTATTGAAAAAGTTCTGCAGCCCGAAGGCTGAAAATATACATTGGACACAAATGACTTATTACATACATTGATGGTTTAACAAAAGCCTTCATTAGAGAAAGGTGAAGGAACATACAGTGAACATACAGATTAATGTTTATACACATAGATCATGTGAGCCGAGTTGTTGAACAGCAGACACGTAGTGTAGTAACTCCCTCACAGATGGCGTTATGAGGGGCATCACATGGAGTACTAGTTCCCTCACAGATGGTGTTATGAGGGGCTTGACGTGGTGTAGTAATTCCCTCACAGATGGTGTTACGAGGGGCGTGATAATGTAGTAGTTACCTCACAGATGGTGTATGAGGGGCCTGATGATGTAGTAATTCCCTCACAGATGGTGTTATGAGGGACTGATGTGGTGTAGTAATTCCCTCACAGATGGTGTTATGAGGGGCATCACATGGCCTAGAAATTCCCTCACAGATGGTGTTATGAGGGGCATCACATGGTGTAGTAATTCCCTCACAGATGGTGTTATGAGGAACTTCACATGATGCTGTAGCAACTCATTCACTACGTGGTGTCGTAGCATCATGGGGACACCACGTGGTCTGTTGTCACAGGACTTCACTCACTCAATTGGGTAACGTGTGGTCCCAGGCCTCTCTATCGTGGAGTCTCAGGGGAATTATCACCGAGTACCTGGGACCTCACTGTGTGAAGGTTAGCTTGGGTAAGACTTGTGTGTGTGTGTGTTTTGAGCTTGCCAAGCACATTGTAGAATTTGAAGAAGTTGATGAAGAGTTTGTTCAGGAGTCAGGTGGTGAAATGCCATTCCAAGACATTTAAACAGTACACACTAAACCATTGTCCTATAACATTTTACATTATAATTTCTATTTTAAGATTATTTGATACATGATAGCTCAACAGGGCTACTTTTACACATAAACAACTGATCAATGAATAAACCAGGGCATATGGAGACTCATTATACACTAGTGATGTCACAAAGCTTTGAAACTGCAACCACATAAATTATCACAACCTGTATTCAAATGTGCAAAGTTAATTACTAATATTATTATGTATGATGCAACATAAGGGATGTTTATACTCAATTAATTGCTATCTTACAAGAACTCTAGCGATACAAGTTATATTCTCGTAAGTCAAGTCAGTGACATTTTATAGGCGTTAATCTCTCCTCCGTGGGGGGGAAGTGACCGTGCCACCCCCCTCCCAAGAGGGTCGTCTCACTGCTGTCTACTGTACTGACTCATTCATGATACAATATTGTTTATTTGTTTTTCATTAATTAGTAAAGATACGTTAGTGTAATAATCGGTGCTTATTAATACATGTGCCCTTCATATACAATACAGTATAGTCTGGATTTACGCGGTTTTTGTTTACGCGTTTGGTCATTTACGCGGTGCCTTGCCAGAATAAAAATGCTTTAATTACGCGGTAAATTTGGTCATTTATGCGGAGAGCGGCTGGGGGTCCAGACGCGCCACGCCATTTTTTATTCACGCGGTCCATTCCTAACCTTACGCGGGAAGCGGCTCGGATATGGATGCGCAGTATGTCGCTGTTGCGTTATCGCTGACGTCATATGACGTATCGGACTGTGATTGGGCCACTTATCCTTACTTCCCTCCGCCGCGAGCTGTGATTGGTCTAATGTTATATGACGTAGCCTGGCACGGGAGGGAAGCTACTGACCTAGCCGCGTCAGTCTCATTGTTCTCAGTCACCGCGTATACTGTTCTCTCTTGTGCCCGCTAATCTGTTCAACAATGGCTTCCGCTGGAACCCCACCACCCCAGAAAAACCTTGATTTACCTGGACCAAGCCGCCCGAAGCCCAAGAAGATACGACGTGCCCTAAGTTACGAAGTTAAGTACAAGATTGTGCAAGATTTGGAGAAAGGAACGAGACAAGTTCATTGCTGGCGTGAACGAATCTACGATCCGGACGATCAAGAAGGATGCCGCCAAGATTAAAGAACACTTGAGCATCACAAAGTCTGCAGGTGCTTCAATGGTGAAGTATTGTCAGAATAAGGTGCTGCTCAAGACTGAGAACTTACTGGTGAGCTACTTAATTCGTCAGGCAAGACGTAACATGGCTGTGGACACGCGGGCAGTGCAGGACTATGCTCGTGAACTGTACTCATCAGTGGCGCACAAGATGGGAATTGCAGAGGCCAAACCCTTCACTGCTTCCTCTGGGTGGCTGCAAGGGTTTAAGAAAAGGAACAAGATTTCCAACATTAACATTGTTGGTGAAGGAGCCAGTGCTGACCGTGCTGCCGCCATGGATTTTCCTCCATTCTTACGAGAAGTTATGGAGGAAGGACAGTACACCGACGACCAGGTGTTCAACATGGATGAATCCTGTCTGTTTTGGAAAAAATTACCTTCCAAGACCTTCGTTGTCAAGTCTGCCAGCAAGTGTAGGGGCCGGAAATTCCAGAAGGAGCACATCACTGTCCTGTTTACCACCAATGCCTCCGGTACCTGTAAACTCAAGTTGTCGGTTATCCACACAGCCCGCAAGCCGCACGCCTACAAGAACATGGACATGACCAAGCTAAATGTCCACTGGCTGACCGCACGTAAGGCGTGGATGTTCTCTTCTCTGTCCCTCTCCTGGTTTGATGACATGTTTCGTTCCCGACATGAAGAAATTCTGTGAGCAACAGAATGTTCCATTCAAGATTTTGTTGCTCCTTGACAACGTACCAGGACACTCACCCCTACTGTTGGATCGTCACCCCAGTGTAAAAGTGGTCTTCCTTCCTACCAACACTACGTCGTTAATCCAGCCCATGGACCAGGAGTTGATATGCAACGTTAAGGCTGCATTCTCCACAAAGAAGTTTAAGCTCCTGAACGACTACACCAACACCAAGGATGAGTTGCGTAACCTTCTGAGTGGCACAGATAGCGAGAGCGACGACAACGAGGATCCAGAACAAGAGTTGGCGGAGCATGAAGTGCGAGTTAAACAGTTTTGGAAAATGTTTGACGTAAAGAAAGCTGTTGATTTCTTGGTGGAGGCATGGGGGCAGCGTGGCGGCATGTGTTGCAAGGTATCCCAGTTGGGAGGCAGAGGCAAACTGTGGCTGGTGAGGTTCAGTCTGTTGCAGTGGCAGTGGACCTTGCAAGAGAAGCTGCACAGAGTGTTACAGCTGCAGGCTTCTCCGAGACCACCAACGACGACATCATGAAGGTAGTCAGGGATCCTGAGGTGACTGCCGACGAGATGTTGGAAGACGATGACGTCAGTGAGGAGACAGGTGGTGCGGCAGCAAGAGAACAGAAGTTAACTCATGGTGATGTAAAGGATGCCATTGAGTTTGCCGAGAAACTAAAGCTCACCCTTTCAAAAGACCATGTCAATCACCGGTATGAAGTCTCCAATAACCATCTAGACCAAAGTATGGAGCAGTACATCCAGATGTATCACGACCACATCAACACTAGCCGTCAGCGTAGCATTACTGACTTCTTCGCCCACAACCCACCACAGCCAGCCCAAGCCAGTGATAGTGACAGTGATGGTGACTTTGAGGGGTTTGTCAGGGAGGCCCTGACAACTATGGTGGATAGTGATGGTGATTCACCTGAGGGCCAGTAATCTGCCCTCTGCCTCAGAACCAGCCCCCATCCTCGTATGCCGACCCATCTCTTCTACTAACGTAAGTGTTAAACTTTGATTTTCTTTTACCTGGTGCAGTATATTATTCTCTTATTGATATTTCTCTTCTATATTATGTGTTTGTGCATACCATCATAAAATTAAGATACTATTTTTACTACAACGTACGTATTGTGTCGGAAAAAGTGGAGTTTGGGGGTCGGCCCAGTCTCTATTTCAATTAATCCCATATGTTCTGTTATTTCATTTATGCGTTACTCATTTTACGCCGTCCTCCACGGGTAAATGCAGACTATACTGTACAGTATAATACTATGTATATACCTCATAGGTAAAAAATAATGTAATTCAAGACATATTCAGGTCATAAGACCCAGTGATCCCCCACCCATCACTGGGTCAGTTTTTTTTTTTTTATAGGATTAGCCCACCCGGGCACAGGTCACTGACCCACATTGGGGCCTGGGGGGCGAAAATTTAAAAATAATAGTAATTCATAGTAAATAAAATTTATAATAAAAAGTAAAATAAAATAATAATAATAATAACAACACTGTAATAATGATAATAAAGAAAAGAAAAACAATAATCAATAGTGAGAAATGCTATATGTATAGTATGTTGTGTTGTCAATAGTAAGAGAAACAATTGAGATCCTGCAATTGTGTGTAAATGAGGCAGAAAGACTGATCAGCAACCTGGGACTTGGTCACAATATTCGTGATGCCATATGGCAGCAGGGTCTACCATTAGACAACACATTATGATTCCAATATCTTCCCAGGCGGTAGTACCTCCCTGTTTGATAGCTCCCATGCTCCCACCTTCATTGCAGGTGTTAAGACATGATTAGTTATGTATTACAGTCAATTAAGTGAAGTGTGTAACAGAGACGTGACGATCACCCAAGTGACTCACGAGCCGACCAGTAGTGAAGATAAAAGAAACAGTTCTGTTCACACCTGTATCATATAGAGCTTTTGTTTTTTAAATATATTTATTTAACTAAACTTTTAGATAAAGTATTCAGGATTATTTTGATGAAAAAAAATGGTTTCTAACAATATTAAAACTGATTTTACTGACTCGGGTATCAACATTTCTTTCTTTAAAAAAAAAAAGGAATGAAATTCCCATCACTGTATCATATAGAAATATTTTGTTTAAGGATATCTTATTGGAAACATTTGGTAGAGAATTTATTAAGCATCATTATGGTATCAAATTCATCTCCCTATCACAATTAGCCATGCTTGAGTGAAAGGGGGGGGGAGAAAACTGACTGCACGACCCTCCCCCCTCACCCCCCACAAAGGTTTGACTCCCACACTCTTCAGCCAAACACACACACACACACATATGGGAATTAAGACAGCAAGCATGAGGAGTGAGGGTCTTCAATAGCCATGCTTGAGTGAAAGGGGGGGGGAGAAAACTGACTGCACGACCCTCCCCCCTCACCCCCCACAAAGGTTTGACTCCCACACTCTTCAGCCAAACACACACACACACACATATGGGAATTAAGACAGCAAGCATGAGGAGTGAGGGTCTTATTGTATGACAAATTTGTATAATAGTAATAATTAACGGTTTATTGAAAAAGTCGGCAGCCCAAAGGCTGAAAATATTCATTGAACAAAAATGACTTATTACATACAAAGACATGGGGTGGGTGGGTCTTTTAACAAAAGCTTTCATTACTGAAAGGAGAAGGAACACTGATTGAACATACAAATTATTATTGTATACAGTTGATGGCCAGAGGGTCTGGGCTGTTCATGGAGACACCAGGTGGTGTGGTGTTCACGTGGTGTATTAATTCGTCCTCAGGTGTTGATATGAAGGACCTAACGTGGTCATGGAGACATCAGGTGGTGTGGTGTTCATGTGGTGTAGTAACTCATCCTCGGTTGTTGAAATGAAGGACCTCACCTGGTCATGGGGACACCAGGTAGTGTTGGGTGGTGTCATAGTACCTCGCCCTGCTGGGTGGTGTTGTGTTATCTCGTAGTCAGGTGCATAGCCGGCTGGCCCTCTGTTGTTACCAAGGTGGACTGATTAGCACCTCCTGGTCAGAAGACGGCAGTCAGTTCCCAGGGGTGCTTATCCCACTGGTGGGTAACGGCTCTCACTGGTACTGTCTAGTGCTGAATTCACTGGCTTAAACACTGTTCATCACTGTTCAACACTGATCTCACTTCTTTTCGAAACAAAATTTTCACTTTTGATTATGTTGATATCCCAGTGGTGAGGATGGGTCGGGGAGAGGGATTTGGGGAATGGGCCGAACATTGGCCAAGGGGGGCCGCTGCTCAGCAGGAGCAGCGCCTGAGTAGGTCTCGACCATACAGTGGTCAAGGATGCAGTGACTGCATGTGTGTGACTGCATGGGAGTGAGTTAAATATCAGCTGTTGATGAGTGCTTAGCAACACTCATTTCCACTCCATCTCTCTAAATACCCACACCTTTCTGCTTTCTCACTCCATATTTTAAAATGTTCTGTTACTTAATGTTGAAGGGATATAACTTTCCTCATTTATACTAACATTTATCTTCTTTTTTTTTACTGTGAATAGCCCACCTGGACACAGGTCATCGACCCACAATGGGGCCTAGGGGAGCAAAAAAATAAGAGTAAAATGAAATTAAAAATAGAAAGAATGATTATATTAATCAACACCACAATGCTGATTTTCCGGCATGGAAAACCAGCTTTTTAAAGTTAGACAGATTGTATGGGTATGGAAACACGGTACACAGGATGCCAAATCCACCGAACATTGCCCGTTAAAGTACCTGTAAAAGAGAGAGTGATGCAACATTGCAGCGAAGAGAAAGGGTAGAAAGATTATCAACTAAAGGAGAAGAGTCATTAAGACAAAATGCCTTTGATTCCACCCTATCTAACAATTGGACAGAAGAAGAGCCATCCCAGATATGAGAGCAGTACTCCAAGTTAGGACGAATGAATCCTTATAAACTTGAAGCAACTGCTCTGGAGTGAAGTAGCTTTGGCATCTGTACAGCATTCCCAGCTTTCAGGAGACAGCTTTAGCAATGTTGTGGATGCGTGACTTCTATGACATATTAGAGGAAATGGTGAGGCCTAGCATATCTATTTTAGAACTTGGCAGAATGATTGCATCCTGAAATGTGATTGGTGGGAGATCATCTAATTTGGAAAGTGTAATTGGTAAATATTGAGTTTTATTATTATTGAATTTAACCAATTTTCTACCTACCCATTCGCAGATGCTGCACAGATCCACATTGATAGATGAAATGATATCAGCTCTAGAAACAGATCTAGTTTGAGAGTTAGGAGGAAGGGGAAAATGTGAAGAATAGTGAAGAGTAGAATCATCAGCGTAAGAATGGATAGAATTAGTTGTAGTGTGAAGTAAATCATTGATAAAAAGAAGGAAGAGAGTAGGTAAAAGAACAGAACCCTGTGGTACACCACTATTGGGAGAGAAAGAGCGAGAGATCAATCCCTTGACAACAACTGCCAGGGGTCGGTTCTCAAGGAAGCTAGAAATTAGAGAACAAAGTGGGGGAGAGAAACCATAAGAGGGAAGTTTAGAAAACAAAGATTTGTGCCATACCCTGTCAAATGCTTTGGAGATGTCGAGGGCCACAACGAAAGTTTCCCCATAATCTTCAGGTCATGAAACCCACTAATCCCCCACCCAAGAAAGGGTGACCTGACATTACATCAGGAGGTCAGTAATATGAGACCACTAATCCCCCACACCTCCATGGGAGTGGAAAATACCAGTCTTTGCTGTAACATACAGCTTCATTCATGTCTGTATCTGTAGATTTTTTTATTTTTAAATATATTTATTTAACCAAACTTTTAGATAAACTATTCTGGATTATTATAGTGAAGAAATTGAGTTTCTAACTTAATTAGGACTGCATTTACAGACTCCGGTACTTTAGCCTTAAGGAAAACATGCCCAGCACCCACCACCCATGGATTTGACATAATATATTATTACGTGCCATTAATTTTCAGCATGCAGAGACTTTACGTGTGGCATTTCTGACAACAACTTCCTGTTTAGAGAACTATGGTGATGTGATGTCACTTATTGGCAAGAAAGTGTCTCATTTGGAGGTTCTGTCTTGCAACAAGGAGCTATCTCTGAAAGCAGCTGAAGTCTCCATGAATGTAGACTTTACCTATGTTCACATGCAGGTTAGTCATGGATCATTTATCAGCATTGAAGTGCACTATATGTAATGGTTATGGATTTGAGTTTATAATAATAATAATAATAATAATAATGATAATAATAATAAACGGTTTATTAATAGAGTTGCAGCCGGTGGCTGAAAAAATACAGACTTACATTTGATTTAGACATAATGATATAATATGCATTGAATACATTTACAGGGCTGTACAGTACATAAATCAGGAGTTGTTTATTATTTTAACAATAGATGGGATGGTGCTGTTCTTATATCTATCGGTGCGGGCTCTTATGGGCTGAATTTTGTTGTAGTGGCGGACTGCGCGAGTTGGGTGGGGGGCTGCAGGTGGCAGGAGGTGGCGATGGCGAGGGTGGTGCAGTAGTCCACGGCCAAACCTTTCCAGTGCTTGGTGGTGGAGGTCACTGAGGGATGGCATTTCCAGGGTGGAGAGAGCGTTGGTGTAGCCGGAGTATTCTGCGCCGAGCATGATTCTGCAGGCCCTTTTCTGTACCTTCTCTAGCTGACGTTGTTGGGTGGAGTTGAGAGAAGACGACCAGGCTGGTGACGCATACGTTAGTTTGGGGAGAATAAAGGCATTGTAGATGGTCCTCAGCTCTGGCGTGGGTGTCCCAAGTGACCTAAGTCTTCGTAGCATGTAGAGACGGTACGAGGCTGCCTTGACTGTGTTATTTACATGGGCCTTCCAGTCAAGTTTGTTGTCTATAGTTACACCCAGGAGTTTGGCAGACTGCACCAGCTGGAGAGGATGGGCACCCACTGTGACTGCTGGGGCTTGCACTGGAGTGGTGGCGGTATTGATGTGCATGACTACGGTTTTGGTGTGGTTGATGGTGACCTTGTTCTCCGTAGTCCATGCCTGTAGCCTGTCCAGGGTGCCTTGGAGCGATGAGTAGTCTGGTGCGGTGTTGTCCACTGAAACCCCCACAGTGCAGTCATCCACGTACTTCCACCTGTGAGGAGTGTCCGATAGAGCGTCGTTGATCAGGATGATGAAGCACAGTGGTCCCATCTTGGTCCCCTGGGGAACACCGCAGGTGAGGTGTTGGAATGTAGAGACCAAGCCCTGATACCTCACTGCTTGGCGACGTCCACTCAAGAAATCAGTGAGCCATGAGACCAGGTTGGTGGGCAGCCCTAGTGCAATAGCCTTGTTGATAACAGTGCAGTGATCAACAAGGTCAAAGGCCTTCCTGAAGTCCACAAGGGCAACGGCCAGTGATGTCTTACATTTCTGCAAGTTTTTGTGCAGAAAATCCAGAAAGCTCACCAAGCAGTGTGATGTAGAGGAGGTCCTCATATTGCCAAATTGCTGTGAATCAATTGACTGATAGATACTGGCAAATGCCCACTCAAAAACAAAGTCCTCGCAAAGTAGACTGGGTATGGGGGTAATGGCAACTGGCCTGAGGTCGTTAGGGGACTGTGGGGTGGTAACCTTGGGGATGGGGGTGATAAATGCGGGTTTCCATTCATTAGGGCATTTGCTTTGTGTGAGGGATGCATTAATAATAGAACAGAGGGGGGTGGCAAGTTCGACTGCAAACTCCTTGTATATTTTGATTGGGAGGTCAATTGGGGTCGTGGAGCGTTTGGATTTAAATTTCAGGAGTTTGTTGGTGATTTCATATGGTTGGACACTGGGAGGGGGGGAGGGGAAGGTAAGTAAGCTGGGAGGAGAGTGAGGTCAAGACTGGGTAGGGTATGACATATGGTAGCAAAATGGTTATTAATTATCTCAGCTGCCTCCTCACTAGGTAAATGTGAGATGAAAGGAAGTGTGTGAGACTGACGGTTGAGACCACAGAGATCTTTTACCTTGGAGTACCACTGACCGATGCCAACTTCCTTGAGGCCGTGCACTTTCCTGAGATAATAAGTCTTCTTGGCAGACTTGATTTCCCTGATGACCTGGTTACGTAGACTTTTGTACAGGCGGTTGTTGGTGTAGTATGCCTTGTTGCGCTGCTCAATAAGTCTTTTTATGTGGGGCGTAATCCACGGTACATCATCGGGGTGGATCCTCAGTTTTTTGGCTGGAAAGAAGTGGTGGTAGGCTTTGGTGATAGTGTCCAGGTAATTGTCCCATTTGTTCTGCACATCGTCTACCGTGATCACTTCAGTCCAGGGATACCGGGTTATCCATTGTCCAAAACGCCGCATAGCAGAGTCGGGGGTGGGTCGGTAAGTTCTGGTGGCAACTGGCGGTGGTGAGAGGGTGGGGGTAGGTGACCACAGCAGGGACAGGTGGGGGCTGCGTCCCATGGGAGGCAGCGGCTGGGGTGGGAAGGTAGTGGTTACCGAGATCAGTCATAATGAGGTCAAGGGTGGCATTACCATGTGTGGGAAAGTCTACTATTTGTGTAAGGTGGAGGTGTTGGGTGATGTCACTGATGTCTAACTCATTGAAGTCACCGCATATCACTAGTTTAGCACATGGAAATCTGGATCTCAGGGAGTCAGCAGTGTCTATAATATGAGTAATTAGTACATTGGCGGTTGGTGCGCGGGGGGGATGATAGCATACACAGACAATGAGGGAGGCAAGCTGGCGAGGGTGGGAGGTGGGAGTGACCTGAACCCACAAGGCTTCTACATCTTCAGGTACACTAACACCTAGGGGTGATGGTTTGAGGTCACTGCGACAGTACAGAACTACACCACCACCTCTCCTGTCCTTTCTAAGGTGGTGAAATAACTCATAGTTCTCTATGGCACAGATCTCAGGAACAATTTGCCACGCCTCGGTAATCGCCACAATACCTGTCCCAACTGACTTCACTGTGACACTGACCTCCTCCACCTTGTTGCATAAAGATGTGACATTGGACAGCAGTAGGGATGTGTGTGTGTGTGTGCGTGTTTATTATCCCTTCATCTGTGTGTGTGAAGTAAATCTAGTTTTCCTCGCTCATTTCTACTTTACACTTTTTCCTTCCCGTCACACCAATGTAGACAGGTTACGCCAATAATTTACCATTTATCTTAATTATGTAATTAAACTTTCCTCCTTTTTGAACACATTTACCTCTTTTTGATTAATATTTTTCCTTTTCCTTGTTTTCATTCTATTCCATGCTCATTAAGATATATAACAGTGTCTCATTCCTCATGTCTGTCAATTTCAGATGAATACAAAGTTACGTCAGAACCAGGCGCCAGAGACTCGCCAACACCATTTTAAGAAGCTAGACAAGCAGTTGCAAAGACTATACAATGGTGCAGCTGCCAAGGCATTAATATTATATATTTTTTCGGGATCCTCTCTTGATGTGGCCGCTGAACAACGCGCCAATGGATTTGTAATGTTTGCCATTAAAGGACAGCCATATGCCATTTAGTTTAAAAAAAAATCACAACTAATTTTAGTTAAAATTTAATAGAAACATTTCTATTGACTACTATTTGATAATACTGTAATTGTTATATGAATTATGGGTTCTTCATATTATTCAAGTAACTCCAATACATGTTCTACTTCTACTTCATTTAACCCAGCTTGATGTGCCAATACAGCAATCATTTCATGAACTTTGTTTATTGGCTGGTCAAATTCATTGAAATCACCAATACTTTCTGGTCAGCTTTTATGCTGAACACGTTTCATATTGGTTGATTTCACTTCCTGCCATACCTCGGACAGATTGTCAATAGCTTTCATGATGTGGTAGGCATGCCAAAATTACCTTACAGTGGGACTATTTTCACCTTCTGTAAACTCAATTAATTGTTTGAACTTGCATCTCAAATAATAGGCATTGAAGGTCAATTTAACCCTCCATTCCATAGGTTGATTCACAAGGAGAAGAGACGGCTGCCGGCATTGTTTTCGTTAATGCTTACAAAACCAGTGACTGATTGGTTCTACATATAATACTGAAGAAAATAAGACCCTGATTGTAGCTGTAGTAAAATTAATGTAAAAAAATTAATATGGTTGTTTGAAATAATGTTATTTAATGTTAATAAATGGAACAATATAAGTAGCTAACCATTAATGGTAAAGAAAAAAGTGAGACTGCGCGTATGTAAGTGTGCACATGTGTAAACATATCGTCATTACTCTACATAAGAATATGAAAGCAACACTTATTTACTGCTCATATATATTGAAGGGTTAAATGTTGTACTCTGTATAGACAAACGGAGAGAGAGCCGAACTGCCGGATGTAAACAAACCTTAATTTCCCGCGGCTTTGTTGTTTTTTTTACGGGGATTAGCCCACCCGGGCATAGGTCTCTGACCCACATTGGGGCCTGAGGGGCGAACATTTAGTACTCCTGTAATAATAATAATTCAGATAAGTTAAAAAAAAATAAAAATAAAAAAATAAAAATAAAAAATAAAAAAGCTGCCTATCTACCTATTGGACAAACTAAAATAGTTCCGGACCATGGGAGTTTCCGGACCACAGAATGCCGGACTAGAGAGGTACAACCTGTATTACATCTTATATTAAGTTTGTAGTATAATACTTTATTTTTTTTTATGTAATGCGATAATCTTAAAGACTTTTATTTGAAAATGTATATTGAGCTGTTCAATGTTTTAAGGCTATATTGACAAATACGGTCTAAATCTTATTTTAATCATTATGGACTTGTTAATATGTTAAGTTTACTTACCTCGTGCGATTTGGCCGCCACAAATGAATTTTACCGTGGTTAGGACTGGCAAAAGTCTTCTCATGCGTGAAGACTACTCGCGACGAAAACTCCAAGTCCTCCCCCACATATTGCTGGGCAAACTGGAGGCGACCAGTGCGGTGTTGTTCAGTTAGCCACTCCTTTATGGCAGGGACTCTGTGTTGAATGCCCGCCTCATCCAAATGTGACCTGACAGTCTGTGCACAGACGTCTAAGCGTAGCGCCTCTCTGATGGCGACATAGTTGGAGAACGGGTTGTTTCGGATTGCTACTATTATGGCGGCATCCTCATCCATAGTAATCAGTCGGGGGCGTGGTCTTCTTTCTGAAAATAGACACAATATTGTTTTTGGATCTCCTGTGTCATAACCTGATATGGAATTAACACTATGGCATACACTCATAACCTTTAACTAAAAAACATAACATTTATATTATAATATTTGCATTATTATATCATTTATATAAAAATTAATATCTTAGGTATTGTTTATATCCCGGTTTAATCTGAAATTTTCACACATACCCAAATCAGTTAAAATACCTGTTTTGGCATATCTCCTGATCCACCTCTTCACAGTTGAAGTCGGAACACACCGTAAGGCCTTCTTCTCGGAGGGCGATTATTTGGCCGCGAGTAGATAAGTGCTGTTGCGTCGTGTTCATGGTGACAGAAGTAATGCCTACTGTTGATCCCGTATTCACAACAACACTTCGGTCAAGCTCTTATTGGTTGATTAGACCATGCCAAGTGATATGTGATTGGTGGGCGTAAAACCTGATGCCGACGTCATAAATAAGATAGGTAGCTATTGAAAATGTTGTTACCTAACGATGAGTACAGAGTCATTTGCTGAACAATTGTCGATTTTTAGTTCGACAAAGGGGAACCAGATATTAAACTCCATACATCAGCTGCCACTAGGATACTTCATTTTCCAAATGGCACACATTTCACATATAATTTGTGTTATAATTGTAATAATTACGAATGTAATTTATTTACACACACACTCACACACACTAACTTACGTCAAAATATATTATGTAATGCTCACCTTGTAAAGACAATTAATTCCTTCATGAAACACTCAAGATTAAATGTGGAACATACTGTATATTCTTGAAATCTCATGTGAGGATCTCGTGGCAGCCCTAGTTGTAGTTGCGTTCCAATTCATTGATATAATTTCTTCATTATTTAAGCAAATATACGAATATTTGGAACTAGTCATGATCTTAAATAACGATGAATAATTTATTATTGTAAAAATGCTACTTTTAGATTGTTTAATATTTATCCTGACAGTGATACAGCCAAAAATAAATCCACCAATCACAATCCCCATTACATACAGCCTTCCTTCCTTCAAGTATTGCCAGGTAAAATTGCGAGCATGAGAACCAGGATGGGGTCGGTGCATCTTTGGCTGACTGTACTACATGAGGTATTAGGAATCTATAGTTAAGTTTGAAATTGCCCCTTACACATTATGTTTTGATTTAAAATATTTTTTTGGACAAATGTATTTTGAATTCTTTGTATATATTTACCAGGTATTTATACTTTTGTCAATAAACTACTACTAAGCAGGCTGGGGATGATCAGGTGTTGCTGCATTCGTCAGGTTTATTTTTTTATTGATTCAGTATTATGTTCTTCTATGATTGGCCTCTTATGGTTTATGGTTCATCATGATTAATATAACATCTTCAGTAATAGAGAAAAATTACAATACTGTATGAAATTTGTAATATGACTTGAAAATAAAAGGAAGTGATGAGAAATACATGACTGTACTTTACTGTACTAATTTAC